TATATATATATATATATATATATATATATATACACACACATAAATATATACACATATGTGTGTACATATATATTTATGTGTGTGTATAAATATATATATATATATGTGTATATATATATATATATATATATATATATATATATATATTTATACACATGTATACATGCATACACACATACATGCATACATACATACACACAACTTCAAAATAACATAAATTCTCAACCTGTACTGAAAACAGTTTATGCGTCTCAGCGCCACCAGCTGGTGAGAGGCCGTGACGTCAATTTGAACCCCGCCCACTGGAACCGGTACTGAAAGCATAATGGAAACACAACCTGTACCGTACCGAGTAGAGTAGAGCCGGGCTGTACCGGCCTGTACCGGTACTAATGGAAAAGGGGCATAAGAGCTGTCGCTTAGTGGGTTTTATCCCGTCATGCAAAGCATCGCACTGAAAAGTTTAGTCCACGCCCACCTGTTGTGTGGGCCCCACCTGGTCCGTATAAATTACGTTAAGAGCGGGTAATCGGCTCCCAAATTGCTTTTTCTTCAGCCATTTAGGAGCCAATGAGGCCCGACGCTTAAAGGGCTACGCCTATACTCATAGAATCTGAGGTTACAGTACGTAACCAACGTTCTATTTCGTATAGGCTTCACCCTTTAAGAGCTGTCGCTTAGTGGGTTTATGGGCAAAGCAGATGTGGTCCTCGCCTCACTGGGTCCATTCGAACACCGTACGAAATGGCAGCTTGCCCTAAAAACATATTGTCACTCAGTTCTCCATGTGCGTAATTACGCGTTGCATAATTATGCATAACATGCACAAACGCATGCTGTGTAGCTATGCGTTCTGCATGCATGAAAGCCCCAGAAAGCTTTCAATGGGGAAAGGAAGATGCTGAAAAAGGGCCATGAACCAACAGATTCACGGCTGATCATTATGACCAGATTAATAATAACAAGTGAACTGATTATTAATCAAATGAACTGATTGATAACAATAGTCATGAACTGATTAATGACAATAGAACCAAAATAACAGTCACAACTTGTGACTGATAACAACATCTCACACTGTTCGCTCCTCCCGCCTGGAGGAGAGCATCCTCCCTCCACGGCAGTTTCCACAGGCGTCCCAATAACAGGCGTTGTAGAACCGGGAACCATTGCGCATTCACACACGCTCGGGAGCCACCAGGAGAGGTGTCAATCCCTCCTCCTGAACACGGTTCAAAAACCGTAATATCAGAGGAGGTGGGGGGAATGCGTAAAGAAGCGTTTTGGGCCATGGGCTGTGAGCAAATGCGTCCATCTCCAGCGGTGGTTCGTCTCGTGGGCTCAGTGAAAACCATAATTGACACTGAGCGTTTTCTCGTGTCGCAAACAGGTCCACAGCCACTTTGCCAAATTTCTGCCATGTCTGAGCCATCAGATCTGGGTGGAGGGTCCAGTCCCCGTGACGCGGACCGCCCCTGGACATCACATCTGCCCCTTTGTTCAGAACACCGGGGATGTACACTGCCCTGACGGAGAGCAGATTTTGGTGTGCCCAACACAGTAGTTTTCTCACAATGTGTAACATTTGGGCTGAGCGCACATACCCCTTCCGGTTTATGTATGCAGCAGTAACCTTATTGTCTGTGTGAATCAAAACCTGTTGATTCTGTAGCACAGAAGCAAAGTGTTGAATCACATTCAGACCCGTGCGACATTCCAGAATATTTATATAAGCTGTTGTGTGAGGTGGCCACAGCGCCCCTACAGTTCGATAGGCATGTCCCCCCCCAACCTGACAGCGACGCGTCTGTGAAGACTGACATGGGTGACGTAGGTCTGCTGACGGGGACTCCCTCCAACAGAACCAGGGAGTTTTCCCAGTGTCGGAGGTCTGTTCTCACGGAGGGAGGAACAGTGATCATCCATCTCTTTTGCTTTACCGGATCCACGTGCAGACGCGCAAACCATATATGGATGCGTCGCATGTGGAGTAAGCCCAGCGTAACCACTGTGTGAGCTGATGACATTGTTCCTAAGAGCTTCATAATGGAAATGGCTGTTACTACTCTGCCAGGTCTTACGTGTGTCGATTCTCGTCTGTGATAAACGAGCCCTCATGGTGGTCGAGTTTAGCTCCACTCCCAGATAAACAATCGTCTGGGCCGGGAGAATCGAGCTTTTTTTTCCAATTTATGGCGAAGCACAGATTTAGCAGGTGTGACGTCAGCACCTGAGTCTGCGCCGCTGCTTCCCATCTGGAGCGTGACAGCAGCAACAGGTCATCTAGGTAAAACAAAATTCTCATTCCTGCTCTGTGTAATGGTTGCAGGGCCGTCTCCACACACTTTGAGAACGTACGAGGCGCGAGGGAATAACCGAACGGCAGCCTGTTATACTGGTACTGCATCCCTTGAAAGGAGAAGCGCAGAAATTTTTTGTGCTTTGGGATGATCGGTATGTGGAAGTAGGCATCTTTCAGATCGATGGTTATAAACCAATCGTTTCTCTGGATGTTGTCCAACAGTTGTCTGGTTGTCAACATGTGAAACGGTCTGTCCATGATTGCCTTGTTGAAAACTGACAGGTCCAAAATGGGTCTCATTCCTCCGGTCCATTTTGGAACCAGGAAGTAACGTGAGTAAAAACCTGTGTTTTCTTCTCCGTCGGGAACTCTGGTAATTACCCCTTTTACCAGAAGTTCCTAGACTTCTGCATTTAGGGATGAGACCTGGTCTGGTGATGACAGAACCGTCTCTAAAACTCCTCCGAACGGAGGGGGTCGAGCTGCGAATTGGAGAGTATAACCCTTGTTTATCAGCCTGCTCATCCATCTGTCTGGCGAGCATGTCCGCCGCAACTCCGCGTAACATTCGTGGAGTAGGCGCGCGTTTAGGTGGTGCGTCATGTTTCTTATGGACGTCAGCCAGTCTACAGCCTCAACCGCTGTCATGCGTTGCCGGAGTGTGTTCCGCGTGACCCAAGGTGAGTCTTCCTCAAAAGGGTTCTGAGCGCGCCTCTGTGCCACGCTCAGGCTGCGGGTTCACATTCATGTCGATGTGAACCGGCGTGTGTTGAGGAGAGGTGTGCGCACCTTCATCAACGCGGCGCTGTTTGGGTGAAAGCTGCCGGCGCCGCAGGAGTGCGTTTGACACCGCTGCGGTGAGATGCGTGCCGCTCCTGCTGAGAGCGAGATTTCTCACTGGACTTGTTCTGTGGTCTCACATTTATGCTGATGCGAGCCGGCGAGCACTGGGGAGCGGTGTGCGCATCTTCATCAACGCAGCGCCGTTTGAGTGAAGGCTGCTGGCGTCGCGAGAGCGCGCGTTTGACACCGCTGTGGTAAAAAGCGTGCAGCTCGGGCTGAAAACGAGTTATTCCACTGGACTCGTTCTGCGGACCACATTCGCTTTCGACTGTTGTGTCATGCGAGCGAGCGTCTTGTGTTTATTTTGGAGCTGCAGTGATTCTGAAAAACCTTTTTTAAGGCCACCGGCTCGTTTTGTGTGGAGGATATGTGAGAAGCCGCTGTGAGGTCATCCGAGCTGAAAGACAGGCTAAAATCAGACACTTTAATCATGGAATGATGTTCATGTTTTATTTCAAAACTCGTGTCATCATTACACACATCCTCTGCAAACCGTCATTTTTTGAATCTTCTCCCCCGTGAGCTCTGTGGTTTGTTGTCCCAGGGCGCCGCCTGTTGGCGATCTCTGGGGAAACGCTGAAGCGCTGGTTGCCGGGTGAGGAGGGCTGTTCTCTGTCGGGCGGGGCTGGCGGTGGAGCGGAGCAGGAAGACGCTGCTGCAGCCGTGGAATGCTGTTGTTGTTGTCTTTGCCCACGACGATCCTTCCAGGGGGGCGGGATGAGGCGTGCGGCTTGATAAGATGGCACACAGTCTCTGACACCTCCTCCGACTTTTTCGAGTTTTCCAGCATGACCTTGAAATTGCTCCCGAACAGCGTGTCCGTCGTGATGGGGCCCTCCATCAGGTCTTTGTGCAATTTCTCCGGCAGGGAGGGGGAGTGACGGAGCTAGGTGGACCTCTGAATCATTGTCATCCACGCTGCAATCCGAGGCAGGTAGACAGCTCCCGCGGCGCGAGCAGCCTTCACCCATACGGCGTTGCGTTATGAAGGCGCGCACGCAGTTTTCAGCGCTCACCGCTCACGTCAACATAAACGTGAGATCGCTGTACGAGCCCAGTAACGTATCTCATTCTTGGCAGGAGCAACATGCGTCTCACTGCAGTGGTGTCAACGCACGCTCCCGCGGCGTCAACAGTTTTCACACGCCTCTCCTCAACACACACCGTTCCACAGACATGAATGTGGACCCGCAGTCAAGCGCAGCACACAGACGCGCTCAGAGCCGAGCTTCTCCTGTGGGTCACGCAAACCACACTCCCACAGCTCATGACAACAGTTGAGGCGGTGGATTGACTGACATCCGCTAAAACATGACGCAACACCTAAATGCGCGCCCACCCCATGGACGTTACGCGGAGTGGCTGCGAGCTTTCTCGCCAGGCATAGATGGCCAAAGCTGATAGCAGGGGTTACGTGTTGCAACTTGCAGCCCGACCCCCTCCGCTCGGAGGAGTTTTAGAGACGGTCCTGTCATCACCAGACCAGGTCTCATCCCTAAGGCAGAAGTCCAGGGGTTTCCCGGCAGAGAGGGAAACACAGGTTGTTACTCACGTTACTTCCTGGTTCCAAACGGACCAGAGGAACGAGACTGATGTGGACCTGTCAGTTTTTTTCAACAAGGCAATCGTGGGCAGACCGCTTCACATGTCAGCTCAGGCTCAGATGTTGACGTCACACCTACCAATTCTGGGCTTCGCCATAAAATTTGAAAAGTTCGATCCTCCCGGCCCAGATGATTGTTATCTGGGAGTGGGGCTAAACTTGTTTATTTGTTTATCAACAGACAAGAATCGACTCTCTAAGAGCCCAGCTCTGCCACGTAAAACCAGGCAGAGTAATAACAGATATTTTCTATCATAAAGCTGTTAAACACGATGTTGTCAAGGCATGGATCTGGTGAGGCAAGAAAGAGGCGGGAGATCACTGTTCCTCCCTCCATGACAGCAGACCTCCGACACTGGGAAAACCCTTGGTTTTTGTCAGAGGGAGCCCCAGTCAGCCTACGTCACACATGTCAGTCCTCACAGATGCACCGGTGTCAGGTTGAGGGGTGACATGCCTATCTTGAGCTGTAGGGGCGCTGTGGCTTCCTCACAACAGCTCATATAAACGTTCTGGAGGGTTGCATGGTTATGAATGTGATTTAACACTTTGTTCCTGTGCTGTAGAATCAACGCAGCCCAAATGTTACACATTGCGAGGAAAGTACTGTGTCGGGCACACCAAAATCTGCTCTCCATCAGTGCAATGTACATCCCCTGTGTTCTTGTACAACAAGAGGCAGATGTGATGTCCAGGGGCAGTCCACGTCAAGGGGAGTGGACTCTCCACCTCGGTCTGATGGCCCAGACGTGGCAGGAATTTGGCAAGCGGCCGTGGACCTGTTTGTGACACAAGGAAACGGTCAGTGTCAACTATGGGCTTCACTGAGTCCACGAGATGAACCACCGCTGGGGAGTGGACGTGTTCGCTCATAACCCATGGCCCAAAACGATTTTACATGTTCCCCCACAGCCTCTGATATTACGTTTTTTTGAACCAAGTTCAAGAGGAGGGATTGACAGCTCTCCTGATGGCTCCCGAGTGCGTGAATGCACCAGGGTTCCGGTTCTACGACGCCTGTTATCCGGGCACCTGTGGAAACTGTCGTGGAGGGAGGATGCTCTCCTCCAAGTGGGAGGAGCGATCAGGAGTTACCCAGAAAAAGGTCAGCACATGTGGGTCTGGCCGCTGAGTGGACACGCTTAAAGAGGATGGGTCTTTCGCAAGATGTAGAGGACACCCCATGTCCACTAGGCGACGTGCTGTCCTCTCTGCAGCAGCTGATGGACGGAAATTTGGCGTTCAGCACGATTAAAACATACGCTGCAGTCATCTCTTCCTGTCATGAAGGAACAGCTTTTAATCACCCGCTGATGAAGCGTTTTGTAAAAGGTGTACAGAGAAAGGTGTAGAGGCCACCTCATGTCCACTAGGTGGCATGCTGTACTTTTTTGGCAGCAGCTGAGGGGACAGAAATCTGGCGTTCAGCACGATTAAACGTACGCTGCAGCCAT